TACGACCACCCTGTATGTTTCACACAACGATGCTGTACCCTGTACACGTCCCTCGCTTGGACTTGGTAATGGTGTAAATGTCTTACCATGTTGAGATGAGTGGGTTAATAAGAACTTATGAGAGAATATAGCAAAATGTCCCCCCCCCTAGAATATAGCGAACTAGCAAAATGCCCCCTCTTCTAGCCAAACAGTGCCGTTTTTTATTATACTGAATGGATATATGAAAACCTTGTTACATTGATGCTGTTATGTTTTCAAGGAAAAATTGGGATGGTCGAACTCTTGATACAAAACCCGGGATCTACACGCAATACAAAACGTTTTTAAATAAGGACAAGGGTGTCGCCAAGAAATTGTTGAAAGGAGATCGACCGTCAGAGGTTTGCCAGTTGTTGTGGAATTTCATTTGTGTGGCCATTCATGAGGAGTTATTTAGGTTCAATGTAATATATTACGTAGACACTTTCTTGAGTTGACTCAAAGCTTCATGATTCCACTGGAGAGATATCTCTCATCTCTGATGCCGCTGCGTAAGGAAATGTCGCCATTTAAGGTTTGTTAGACGTGATCAGTTCAATTTGAGCCCGTGCTTTTGTGGGGTTGAACTTAAAAATGTGATATTTTTGAATATTTTCATAGTTTGATAACGGCGAACGGCGCTTATAATCTTTGGAGGGGGACACATCTGTGACCTCTGAGGCAGGGGTATGTGACAAAAGAATCGTAATTCACCGCGCTGCTGGGCGTCGCGTGTGAAGTCGCACCGCAAATGAGGTGGTTCCAGGTAGTAGATGGCGACAACAGGCGATTCAGAACCGAAAATACTCATGTATGTCCATAATGACGGGTCTACATGAAGTCTGCTCCAACTGACAGGCTAATATTAGTTGAGAAAACGCCGCGCCCATCGCCGCGCGTGGCGGAGCGGCAAATTATGATTCTCTTGCCCGTCTTCCCTTGGGCAGCCAGCATACAAGTCAAATGCAGTGGGAACAATATGTGGGGGGCGGGCCGTTGCTGCCAACGTGACTGGTGGAAGGGCCGGCGGGCGTTAGGCAGTTTACCAGGGGGTTACAGGGTCTTGACAGGTGTGAACAAGGCTTACATGGTTTTGAAAAGGGTGTTCGGTATTCCCTTTCATAATTAACTGGATTTGGTTTGCTAACAAGCGCTTAAAGGTGCGTTTGCCCCACCCTTCGCTAGATTTTTCGCATCCATTCCACCTAAAAGTGTCGTTTTTCGTTTGTCCCTCTGGTTATTGTACGGTGTCCTCCAATACTATGGACTTACCATTAATGACAGCGAACTCAAAACAGGATATTGATCGAAGATAAAATGAACCCGCTTCAGGCTATTCCTAGTGCACGCCCATTCTCTATTGAGGAGTTCCTACTGACAGTCGATGCTAATGGTCCATCATTAACTTGCGGAGTGAAAGGAGACTGGCCAGGTATGTGTTCAGTAATCAAGTATGTATTTGTCTGGGAATCTCAGTCCTGCAGCTTTGGCGTCAGGCGTCACGTTTAGCGGGCAGTTTTTCGGGGGGAGGGGTGACTTTGGTGTGGTTAACGACATATCGTTTTTGGGAAAGTGTTGTCGTGGTTGCTCATCCACTCTCGAGGTCCCTTTCCCTTACTCCTTCAGAATCGCAGGCTATCTAAGCCTAAGGTGCTGAAGACTGGCTTTAAAGGCAGTTGGCACGATAAATCGTTATGCAGGTGTAGGATTTGTACAACTGGCTTAACAGAATTCCGTGACCTCGGACAGGCGCTGCGTGAAGCCTTTCCCAAGGAGGGTACCTCTATAACGCCCTATTGAGCAACAACTTTACGTCCCAAACGCCTTCCTTGCCCGCCCGCCCACAAACGGACGACCGTTTCTGACGCTCGTACTCATTCATTTGCTGAGCAAATTATGAAGCAAAGGGATTGGTATGAAGCGGCGGTGATGCTGCATGCATATATGGGTACACATATGCAGCCGTACCTTCGGTAGCGGTGATTGGCAAGATGCGTACGGGAAACTCGTCCGAAATCATCTACAGTCGACTGAGTGAGAAACGGAGGCTTTTTTCTTCGCTGGATTTGAGCCGTTCATTCTCCGTTCTTTCAAATACGAGAGCATTTTCCCACTATAACACGCTACAGCATCTAGCTAAGTAAAACCATCGTGCCAACTGCCTTTAACGAGGCAAATAGAGCCCAGATACTTTTTCATGTCCTCTTTAAGAGGTTATACTGGAATATTGTTCTAATTTTGTATTAGCTTATTTTAGGCCTATACCGCCGCTTTGTAAGCAGTCCGAATTTCGTTGGTTGGCTGTCGAGCCGTACACGTGATGTGAATGCTCAACTCAAAGCACAGTACGTGGAGGCACTGTGTTCTGCAGACTTGGGTCAGTACACGATTGACTGGGTTCGAAGTGGTGATAAAAGCAATTTGAATTAGCTGCAAATTTTGTGGCATTTCCTCGCGTTTCTTTGCATTCCTAGAAATCATCTGTATCATGCTTCTATAATTGGTATAGCCGTCTAAGTGGACCCTGGATGGCCATTTGAAAGACTCCGCCGTGGCGGAACTGGACTGACACATCATCAGCAGAATATTGATATCTTTAATACTGCTAATCACTCCAAATTTTTTTTTTGCTGAATGCCGCGGTATAAGGTCAGTACGTTGCCTGAAAGGCAGTTGACACAATAAACCCTAAGGCGAGTATGGTTAGTGCGCGTAGCTGTACAGAATTTCGCGCCCCCCGAGCAGGTGCTGCGTAGCGCTTTTTCAAGGAAGGAACCCTTATAAAGCCCCATCTAGCTGCACCATACCGGCCCGTGCGCCCACCGCATCCTCTCGCCCACAAATGGACGACCGTACCTGATGCTCGTATCGCTTCATCTGCGAAGCACAACATGAAGTAAAGGGATTGCTATGAAGCGGCCGCGGTGTTGCATGGATATACGTGCAGCCGTATCTGCCGTAGCGGTTATTGGCACGATGCCTACGGGAAACTCGTCCAATTACTGAGTCATGAGAAATGCAGGCTTTTCTGTGTAGGTTTTTACCGTCCTCGCACCTGGTTTTTTTTTTCGCCATTTTCCATTAAGACGCTAATTTTGGCAGAGTACTTTCGTGCCGTAGTCTATGGATATACTGTTTGCGCTGGGCATCCGAAACTGACACCGCCATATGCTCGCCAAAATCTATAAACTTTACAAGGGCTGTCATTTGACAGCCCTGATATACGAATATGACAACCACTCTTGTATGTCCGGCCCTCTTGGTCATCACTCTGTTTATAGACAAGTAAATGTGAGGTTGGAGGAGAAGGGAGGAGGCGTGAAATGTCGTCGTTACACTCTGCGATAATGCCGATGCACATTTCAGGAGAGAAGGTGTTGGCAACGAAACATCATGTGGAAATCGTGGATTTAGTGTTGAGAGTTCGACAGCGAATTATCGAAATGGAAGAAGCAAGTGAGAAAAGACATCAGTTGGTGAGTATTTTGTTGAATGAATAAGTTTAGGAAAACAGACCGGATACAGTATCCAAAGCTGCACGTAGATAAGCGGCAGCATCGGTAGTACACCCCTCAACCAGGGCCCGCCATCATTGTGATGATCACAACGGGGGGGGGTCGTATTTGACCGCGAGGGAGATGGGATCGTATTAAATTTTTTGGTAGTTGATTTCTCTTGTTTCACGGATGGCATAAAAGGGAAGGGGGTTCGTATTTGGCCGTTGTTGAGAGAGGGACTGCCAAAGATCTATACAACTACTATTTCCGATAGTTGAAAATGATAGTTAAATCCTGACGACCTCCTCCCCTCTCCCTGCTCGACAGCAAAATTTTGGGGAAAAACCAGAAATATTTCGAGAAGTTTGAGAAGAACTGGTAGGTTAGGGAAAATCTGCAAAATTTTCCTGTTTCACATTGGGTATATACCCCCGCTCGACGGAAAATCTTGGCTGAAAAACTGAAAATTTTTCGGGAAGCAAGTGGAGAAAGTGGTAGGGAGTTGGAAAAATCTGGGAAAGAGATAGGTAGCATGGGGAGGGAAAGGGTCTAGTTTGAGGATGGCATTAGTCGTATTTTTCAGGAAGATCACAACGTTACGGCGTGTCCTGCTCTCAATTCTGGCCTAGTTAGTGTCTGGTTACTTGTAAGTAGCAGAATCAGCGCTAGTACCTCTTACTGGTCCCATCCCGGTGCTTGCTTTCACTAAATCGGCTTAAGATATGCCCATTTGTGTACGTTCACGAAATCTACACGTTTAATTTCATTTGCCACATTAAAGGGTATAGTGTCCTTGTGCTTAGTTTGCACCCTGGAGGCACAACATCCACCTCTAGTCTGGCACTCTGTTCACGGATTGCCCTCTTGTTTTCATTGAAACCCTCTTGCTCATTTGACGCTGTTCTGGACGTCTGCTTCGAGAATAAAAAAATATAAAATTGTTGGGAAAAACCATTCTCCCCTCCTGAGGCGCTTTGTGGTATCACTTATCGGCGTAGAATTTGTACGAGTTGGTAATTTTACAACTTCAGCACCTGACAGTTGTTTCGGATGGCTGTTGGGCGATGATACGTTGGGGGGGGGGAGTGGGGGGTGAGGGGTGCGTGTTGGCAGCGGTGCGACTAAGGTTACTGTGCCCTGTGCCTTCCAGCAAGACGTGATTCGTTCCTCGGAGATGCTCAGTCTCACAAGAGGACAGACGACAAAAGTTGTTCAGTCCTACTGCTATTTCTCGCTCTTCCTTCTGTTTGCCTCTGCCCCCCCCCCTCTTCAAACTACGCTACCACCGCAGTCATTTATGTTTTTGAAGATGTGGATTTGACTGCTTTGTATGTTATAGGTGCGTCAAATCGCCTCCATACTTGCGGGTGTTGACGAAGAGCTGAAACAGGTGCTGATGTCGAATTGTTCGCTCCGTGAGATTGTATCATAAGTGTCAATTTGTTGTTGCCCCCTCCAAGTGAGTTATGAATATCGATTTCTGTTTTGAACAGAAAGTATTGTGATTTATCAGTTCTGTTGTTGCCGTCGTATAGGGATGTCATGGACCTAGTAGTGCAGGCATTTGATGAACATTACGCGCGCGGTCGCGGGCGGCCAAAGGCAAGAAATTAGTCGCCACTATATCAGCGTCTATCCCATTCAAACTGGCCGCGGGTTTTTTTTTGAATTTAATAATGGATGAGGAAATGATAGAAAAAGTGAATTTTAGCTTTTAGGGATGAGTAGGCTCCCCCTTACCAATGACCTGCTAGGTGCCCGAGCGCTTTGGATCTTGCGTACCTCGATTTTTCAACCAACATGTGGCGGTAAACTGCTGTGTGGCCAATTGGCAAATGACAAAATAGCGTCTGCGTCAGGAGAGTACTCTCAACTGAATAGAACAGTTGTAATCGCATGGCTTTATGACGGGCGAATGGGGCGATTGAACCCAGGTCTCAGTATTGTTTGTGTCCCAGCACTGCCCTACAATACAGTTACTAGGGGTCTGACACTATGACGAGCAACGGTGGCCTTCTTGTAGTTGTTTGTGGCAGCATCATTTCGATCTGAATGCCGAGGAACAGGCAATATGCACCGACAGTGACGGATTTGTTCTCTGTATAGAGCCGCTTGAAAGCCACAGTGTGGGAATCCTTTGCTATGATGATCATCCACTTGCGCCCACGTAACTCTTCATGGTAGAACTCGGGCGGCTTCTCATCTGCATTCATACAAAATTGACGATTGTGAGTTTCGGCTCGAGGTCCGAGACCACCCATATTATCTACACAAGGGAATGGTTTGAACTTCCCATGGAACTTTGAATGGAGACCTAGGTACATCGATAGAGCCTCGAATGCTGATTACGAATATGCAGATTAAAAGTGCTACGGGGACCTCCCAGACGAGATCTGGAGTCGGTATCAAAGTGTGAGTTCAGCTGTAGCGCTGCGCGTGATCGATGCGTCGCAGTTGCCACGCTGTGGCCTCGGTTCGGTAGTGCGTCTCCGCTTTCAAGTCAAACGCATGCGGTTTTTGCATCTATTTGGCAGCGAAAATTTTTCCTTCGGCTCCGTAAAGAGCCTTTCAAACTCATAATTTGCGAAAAATTTTCCGTAGTCTACGCTGCCCAGCAGGGCAAGTAGATCAAGTACATCAAGTATACGACGTACTCGATCTAGTATGGATGTGGTCATATCTGCCTTCTCTGAACATATTACCCATCCGACAATTCAAATGGTCGAGAAGTTCGGTTCATGGTGAGGATTTCGACCCCCGTTGTAACACGAATATCAATCCTTCGACTGAAAAACGCTCGCTAGCAAATTGCGGATTCTGAGAGAAAACTTTGACTTTGTCGGATGGCAATATGTCAGGGGGCAGATATGACCAAATCCATACTAGATCGAGTACGTCGTATACTTGATGTACTTGATCTACTTGCCCTGCTGGGCCGTAAATTCGGAAGAATTTTGAAAATTAGAGTTGAAGCTCTTATACGGAGCGAAAGCAAAAAATTTTCGCGCCAACCGGATGCAAACCCGCATGCGTTTGACTTGAAAGCGAGACCATTACCACGAGGCCACGGTGGCACTGCCGAAGCATCGATCAGCAGCGCTTACGAGCCAGAACTCAAACTTTGACCACCCAGATCTCGTCTGGGAGGTCCCCGTAGCACTTTTAATCTGCATATTCGTAATCAGCATTCGAGGCTCTATCGATGTACCTAGGTCTCCATTCAAAGTTCCATGGGAAGTTCAAACCATTCCCTTGTAAGTGGGTTTGTCGTTTGTTTTTCACAGTTTGTGAGTGACATCTCATGCTGAGAACATTACTGCTAGAGGTATAGAATCGGTACTGCGTTCGTGCTTCTATAAGAAAATTGGGTACCCATGCGCACACCCCCTTGACCATCCTCAGTTTATCGGTCATAACACGTACAGTAATTGCAGCAGGGATGTCAGTCTCGCGGGGAAACCCGACAAAGGTCCAGGCTCTGTGATCAGATATTCAGTGCCTGACTTCATCCACCCGTTTTTCTTGTGCAGGATGAATATTATGGGACCATCCACGACAACAAATTTTTTCCTTTCTTCCTTGTACGGGCTCCTGAACCAAATCTTCCACCGTGTATTTCGAGAACACCCTTACACACAACTATGGTCCGGCGCAGGTCAAATTTGAGCAGCGCACTTTCCTCTTATGACGTCTGATTTGAAAAACCGGCGCCGATTTTCACCACTCGGGCTTCTTTTCAATTTCTCGAGAACTTCTTCTGGGGCTAGGTTCGCCAAATTTCACAGATACACAGCTTAAGGTACTAGCTTCCAAATGGTATAGTAGCCCGCTGCTCTATCCCCTTTGCTTTTCTGCCATTCCTCTATATGTAGCGGCCAGTTTGAATGGGATGACCTAATAGCAACTTTACTTCGTTACTCATGTGCCTAGGTCCATGATCGCCGCAAGAAGATATCTATTTGGCTTGTATCCGTGATTACCTATCTATCCTCGTCCTTGATGTCCTATGGGTAGAGTATTATATTGATTAAATCGTTGTTCAAAGTGCCAAAAATAAGCGGAGGTATCCCGTTGATTTAGCCCCGTATCACTATTGATTGATTCGTCACTCATATCTCTAGGTTATTCGTTAAGACTCTCATTTTCATCACTTTGCACCCGTTGTGTTTCTCTCTTTCAACATCGGCGGTTTCTATGATACGTATGTGTGCTGAAACGACATAATATCGAATGATACGGGTAGCTGTGAGGTGGTAGTTTGTGTGTTATTGTGAGTTGCTGTTCTTATTTTGTATATTATAGAATAAATGTATATATTTTGTAGGGTTCTGTTATGGCTCGATTATTGTTTTTATGCTCCGTTCACACTATGCGATCAGAGCGACTGAGTCGCGCGATTTCGGTGTTGCGAGACGGTGACTGACCGCGCTCCACCGCTAATCGACTGCTGCGTGCTAGTTTGATTTTAGATAGGGTATGACTTAATTCGAATTTCGTAGCGGTCAGGTCTGTCGCAGTCGCGCGACTGCGTCGCTTGAGTCGCGAAGTATGAACGCGGCCTTATGTAGCTACGACGGGTAGGGCTTTCATGATGACTGGATAGGTCTCTGACGCTTCCTGGATGACTGGATAGGTCGAAGTGGCCATTTGAGATGAAATGCGTACCGGCTGAAAGGTCTTCGGACGGGAATTACGAAACCGTCTTCCATATCTGCTGCGGACCTCCCAGAAAGAAGTTACGGAGCTTTTTAGGGAGTATGCGGAGCTTTTTAGGGGGAGGAGTAGTCGCATTCAGTACGAGTCGGCAGCTCGTACTGAATGCGATGTGATGCGATCAAGGTGCGGTAGTTTGAGCATGATGCAATCAAAGTGCAAAATACCCCTCCCGTCGCGGAACTGTGCCGTTGTCTTGTCTCCAACCCAGGATTGCTGTCATATTTAGTGTACTCACAAGATGGAAACAAACGGGCTTCACGAAGCGCCCAGCGCGGTTGAAGAAAAGCCTTCGTATTACTCTGTTAAGGGAACCCGGCTAGAGTGTCTGGATCACAACAGGGATCAATGAAGACATTCCTGACCCTTCATGAATTCAACGACCAACGAGACAGCAAATGATACAGATGTCGCCAGGGCACGCCACATCATTGTGATGATCACAGGGGGATCGTATTTGACGGTGGGGGAGGGGGAATCGTATTTGGTCAGAGAAAGAATTTTTTTGATAGTTGATTTCTTTTGTTTCACGGACGCTATAAAGAGGGGGGGGGGTCGTACTTGGTCGTTGTTGGGAGAGTGGGAAAAGGAGCTGACTCCAGAAGATCCACACACACGCCTATTGCCTACAGCTTCGAGACAATGATAGTTTAAATTTATGACGACACCTCCCCCTCCCCTCACGCTACGACAGCAAAATTTTGGCGGAGAAAACCAGGAATTTTCGAGGAAAGTTCGAAAACAAGTGCGGCAGGTGGTTAGGGAAAATGCTTGAGAAATTTTCCTTGTTCACATCTGGGTTATATTCATATCCCCTCCCCGCCGGAAAGTTCTTGGCCTGAAGAGCTGGAAATCTTTTTCGGAAATGGTAGGGAAGTCAGGACAATCTATCAAAGTACGGCCAGCAATAGGGCGGGCTGGGTTGGGAATGGAATTGTGGGAGGGGGGGGTGGTCGTAGTTCTTAGGAAATGATCACAACGCGATGGCGTGAGAAGGCAGCAGCTGCCTCATGTAGTTTCACGCCGAGCAAATGAACCAGGGAAGCAGCTGTTCGTGAGATACAGTTTTGTTTACTGCAGATGCTGGGGTGTTGGAGGACGAAGGGGCGGGGGAGGGAAGGGCGGGCGGGGACTTGGAGGACTCCCGTCACCCTGTTTTTCGAGATATGCTGAATGAGCAAGCCGCCAGTAATTTGGTTGACTGGATGACTTTGAGAAACTGGAGGGTGCAAGATTGCTTTAGCGGCATCGCTGGTTAAAACGTTCTTGAAACCTGAAAATGAATTTTGGTTAGAGTTATCAAGTATGATCAAAGGGGATGTACTAAAGGTAGCAGTGAAGAGGAAGGCCGTAGAACGCCTTCCTTCATCTTATCAGATCATCAAATTAGTGAAAGCACAGTATAAAGTCTTTGCTGTTGATCAATCCCTTTTAAGATCTGCAGCACTGTATACACATAGATTATTAAGTCCAAGGTTTCAGCGCCCACGCTACAGCACCCGAAAACTTGCGCGTGAACTTAAAATGTACGCGTCTGTGAACGCACACAATCGGGCGCGCGGAGCTGTGTGCATTTCACGGGCAACACATTAATCCACCCGGGCAGCGACCCGCCCGTCCCCGGCAGGCACCTGCCCCGTGGCCGGGCTACAGTACTCCACGCCTAAAAATAAGTGGTCCGCTTAGAGCCAGCGCACCCGTTTAGTGTGCATTCACGGA